TGTAGACTTTACACAGCATCCCAGCCTTTTGGAATTGGTGTTCTAGCGTCAAAGTAAAATTTTCATATTTTTGTACATAACTGTATATTTGCCTCAAATTTTTTTCCTAAACTGGCTTATCCCCTCACAGACATTTGGAAGGATTTGTATACTTAAACCTTGGGGGCAAGTATCTTCCTCCTTAAGTCCTTTTCATTGGTTATTGGCTAAGAGTGGTATGTCATACAGGATCTGCAATTAGCCTAAAGCATTGCACCTACATCATAAAATGTATTTTCTAATGAAGACACCTGCAAAATTGGCTAATAAATAGGGTTGGATGATGATTCCAGAATGAAAAGACTGGAGCACCAATGCAGAACATTTTTACAGTAGTGACAACAAAGAGTTTTTGTCCTCCTCTCTCCTAAACAGCTGTTATTGACACTATAGCTGATTTAGCTGCTGAGAGCAGCTATGCGTCATAGAGCAGGATCTCCACCATTAGAACATCCTATCATTTGCTCACTGCAGGAAAATAAGTGTTCCATCTACATTTCAGAGGCTGATGGAAAGTATTCAGATAGAAGATGTTGAGGGAGACTTCAGAAACTCTACAGAGTCCCTAGAGAGTGTCTCATATATTTTGATGATATTGTTATATTCAGGTTCATGATAGAAAAAACAAAAGTAGAGTAATGACAATTTTACACCACCTATTGAAAAATTCTAGCCCTAAGTAGGCAGCTACCCATCTATCCTACCTCTGTCACCTTTGTGGGTTACATAATATTCTGATGGTATAGCCACTGGTCCAGCCAAAATCACGACAGCTGTTAACTAATCCCAATCTTAGAATCTCACATTGCTGCATTTTTTCTGTGCACAGATTTCTGGAGGTAGATTTCACAGTGGCCAAAGCTCTAGATGAGTAATCAAGAAAATAAAAGGAGGCCATCCAAAAATACTATTGAAGACCAGCAGGCGTTAGTATGTGAATAGGCCTTTATTTTGTTGAAGAAGAAGCTGAACATTTCCATGCTAGAGGTTTAGTCATGGTTTTGGTGTGCTGATGGATTTGTAGCAAGTAACATATTCTCGATACGTGGATATGAAATATTTATTGTGGCAACCAGCTTTTAATGAGCATTAAGGACACAGCCACCTGTCAAATAGTTTTTTTTCAGAGCATCCTAGTCTAATTTTATTTAAAGAAAGTTCATTTTCGACAAAACAGGTTACCTCTGCAGTGGTTTTTAGCACTCACCTTCCCATGGGAAAAACAACTCTTAAGCTTAATTCAGTCTCCTGGCTTACTCTAGTAATACTGTGGCTATGTCCCTCAGGCTTAGGGCCTCTGTCTGGATCTCCGCAGACTTCCCAAGCACTGTGCACAAACATGTACACCTCTGCCTGCTCCCTGAAGCCACATGGACTCCTGGGGATGGTGGAGTCCTGAACACTAATCAGTAACCCTATCATAAGATTTGTGCACAGCTGCACAATCAGTGGGTGCTGGTCACCACCAGGATGTGGACCCAGGGTTGCAAGCTTCATCCAGACCAATATTCTGCAAAGCATTTAAGCTCCAGAACCCTGACCAAGCTTTTCCAAACCTGGGGAAAACTGGCAAGCCAGTTTTCTTCTATCAAACAAATTACCCTGGAGCTCCTCAGCCTACATAGTTAAGAGTCATTTGTATGTGAGAACCTCCTGCGCTCCTACCTAAAACCTAGAATCACTATAATTGATAAAGCTGCCAACATCCAATCATTTACCTATTGATCTACGAGCAAATATTAAAATAAATGATGTAGCACTAGTAACAGAACTGCATCAATAAAAACGCACTGGTGAAGTGAAAATATATATCAAAACTTCTATGAACAAATATATATGTGACATATGACAAAGTATATATAGTGACTTTATCTAATAAGCACAGCCTGTGGGCTGTGAATTCTAAATATACACCATGATCTCTCAAGGATCAAGAATAAGTGAAGAAGGATACCATGAAAAACAAATAAGGGAAAAAGTAAGTGAACTCAATAATCACACAACTGTGTGTGTGGAGTGATCCTAATGGGATCTATAAATTATGGAAATGTGCAAAATAGTCCAAATGAGACTAGTGCATAATAGTGCCCAAATATGATCCTAATAGGATCTATTGGTGATGATAAATGAAAAAAAGGTCCAAATGGGACCAATATACCCAGTGTGTCCAAATTGGGACAATCAAAAACACATGTGTACACATAAACAAAGATAAAAAACAAATAGCTGAAATACAAAAACAGTGTCAGCAAACAAAATACACATAACCGCATGCGTGATAGTGCTTATAAAATGCCACAAATGTGAATATCATATACAATCCAGGAACAACGCATGTCCCTTTTATGCAGATGGAAAAAAGTCCAAAATGGTGTAAGAACACCTATTCCTTCCAAATTGACAAACACCCGTGAAAGTGAGTAATGACACGTATCCACAAATGGCTGTATTGCGCGCTCACCTCCTTGCCTCGACCCGCCAGGGGCCAAAACACTTTTTGGATCAATACACTGGATCCTCCATGCAAGAGACTCCTCTGGGATCGCGTCTCTCTCCCTGTAGTGGTCTCCCCCTCAAGGACAGGCTTAGTGGCAAAAACCTCCTCTCCAGGCAGGTACGCAAGATATGGCCAGTTATTCAATAGAAACAACAACGGCATTCACATCTTCAGAAATCCTCCGACACAGAGTGTCATAGGACCTTGCTCTTGCACTTCCAGGGGCCCATCCTCCGCCATGGATGTAAATAATGAGGCGATTTAATGCCCCACCAGGTCCTGCATCAGGTTCAATGATTCTGACCTCCACGCCGTCAAACACGGTATCTGTGACTTTAACATGTGCAGATGATACAGGGTCTACTTGATCAAAGTAGTTGGAAATGAAATTGAAGACTCGCAAATGGTGACTGAGGCCAAAATAATGTGCCAAGTTACTCAGATCCTGAGCACATCTGAAGGTGGCATCCAGCAGCATGAGTTTTCAGGGCTGCACAGCTGCACAATCAGTGGGTGCTGGTCACCACCAGGATGTGGACCCAGGGTTGCAAGCTTCATCCAGCCCAATATTCTGCAAAGCATTTAAGCTCCAGAACCCTGACCAAGCTTTACCAAACCTGGAGAAAACTGGCAAGCTATCAAAAAAATTACCCTGGAGCCCCTCAGCCTACATAGTTAAGAGTCATTGGTGGCACTAATTCCTCTCTATACCTGCAAAACTGCATACTGATTGTCATTTTATCTTGTGTGCAAACGCAGAGTAATTTATTGTTCGCCTTTTTTTCTTTTTTTTTTTTTTTTAATACTGGCATATAAAAGACTGATTCTTAAACTACTACATGTGTAAGTAACATGATCCCAGCCTTATTTAAGTTGACCATAACTTAAAAAGTGAAGATTTGCTATGTTACAGTATCTCCACCTCCACGCCTGAATGTCAGCCTCAACAGCTCAGACTCCTGTACACCTCCAAGCATGACATTTGAAGCGACAGGAGGGCAGATGGCAGATAGCCAAGCAGGACAAGCTTTGTTTAAGACTGCTACAGACACTCCACTTATTCTACAGCACCTGTGTGGCAGGCGCTTATTCTTCAAGATGGCAATGGGGCTTATAGAGGACACAGCAATCTCCTCACCGTAGCTTCCAGACCAGCATGATAGTTCCTCTAACTACCAGTAGATAGTAGCCAGGTGACTGGTAGACCATGGACTGGGCTAGCTGACCCGCCATCCCACAGCATCAAACAGAGTGCAATGCAGAGGGACTACTTGTAAAGCTGGAGCTGAAGTAGGGAGCAAGAGCCACATAAGCCAATGCCTCTTGTGTAGTGCTGGCTCTTGTCCCAAGCGGAGTGATACCAACTGCACTCCACCTCATATCACTGCTAGTGGTCTCCAAAGTGGTGCCAACAGCAGGAAAAAAAAAGAGATCCTCAGGTCAGTGTGAAGCAATACACTGGGCATAGTAGTATAGGACTGCTTTCACACTGATTAACTGAGCTTTACCCAAACGCTGTGTGTGCAGTGTAGTGTAACTGCAGCTTTCCTGCGGATTTGCTGCACTTAGCCATAGACATCTATTATATCCTGTGGGCTTGGAGCACTTTCTGAAAGCACACTACACCTGCAGGATGTAATAGAAGTCTATGGCAAAGCTAACTCAGGAAAGTTGCAGATGCACTGTGCTGCACCCGTGGTGCAGGTAAACCGCAGCACATCAGTGTGAAAGCAGCCTCCCAGGGGGCTCAGAACAGTAAGGGTTCTTTTACATTTGCAGTTTAGGTGGGTGGTAAAACCCCATAGTTAAGACCTGTTTTTACCACCCTATCCCCAACCACACCCCCTTTATGTGCAGTGGCCAGGGGTGTACACATGTCAAAGCCGTAGCAAGAGTTATACATCCTGTCATGGTTGGTGGGTGTAGCACCTGCAAAGCACACAATTGTGACATGGTATTACGGAAATTCGAGGTTTAAATCAGGTGTCAAGAGACAACACTGTGCCCAGTGATCTTTGACTTCTCCCATGTTGTTCAGGTAGATCTCCACCTCTTTAACAGCCTCCCACCCACCATATAGTACAATGATGGGCGCAAGGTGGTTCTCTTGTTCTGGGAGGACGTCATATGACATCCTCCCATTCTAAACGTGCATGCGAGGCTCTGGGAGCGCGCAGCGTGGCGATCAATGGTGCTCTGTGTCCCTCGGACACAGCGGATCACCGATCAACGGAAAGAGCCAAAGATGTCAGCTCCGTCATGTGATCAGCTGTGTCCAATCACAGCTGATCACATGTAAACAGGGAAATGCCGGTTATCGGCATCTCTCTCCTCACGAGTTGTCACGCTGACAGCTCGTGAGGAGAGGAGAGCTGGTAATCGGCATAACTCGGAGGGGACATGTACAATGATCATCAGGGCACTGATGATCAGTGTATCCTGATGATCTGTGTAGCCCCAGCAGTGCCAGCTCTCAGTGCTCATCCATGCCACCTGCCAGTGCCCATCAGTGCCACATCAGTGCCTACCAGTGCACATCGATGCCACATATCAGTGCTCATCTGAGCTGCCTTTCAGTGTCACCCATCAGTGCCAGTCAGTGCCACCTATCAATGCCAGTCAGTGCCACCTATCAGTGCTGCCAATCAGTACCACCTATCAGTGCCAGTCAGTGCCGCCTATCAGTGCCAGTCAGTGCCGCCTATCAGTGCCCGTCAGTGCTGCCTATCAGTGCCGCCTAACAGTGCCAGTCAGTGCCACCTAACAGTGCCAGTCAGTGTCGCCTATCAGTGCCAGTCAGTGCCTCCTATCAGTGCCATACAGTATATGAGTGCTGCCTTTCAGTGCCCATCAGTGATGCCTGTCAATGCCCATCAATGCCACCTACCAGTGCCTCCTCATCAGTGTCCATCAGTGCAGCCTATCAGTGCCCATCACTACAGCCTCATTAGCGCACATCAGTGAAGGAGAAAAATCACTTATTTACAAAATTTTATAACAAAAACTTTTCAGTGGTTTTTGGTTTGTTTAAGAAAAAATAAAAAACCCAGAGGTGATTAAATACCACCAAAAAAAAGCTCTATCTGTTACAAAAAATGATAAAAATGTCATATGGGTACAGTGTTGCATGACCGCGCAATTGTCATTCAAAGTGTGACAGCGCTGAAAGCTTGAAATTGGCCTGGGCAGGAAGGGGGTATAAGTGTTCTGTAGGCTAGTGGTTAAGGGTTGCCTACCCCTGATTACAAGTAACCTATCTGAAAAGAGAACAGATGGATCGCCCATGTGAAAGGGGTCTTAGACCTCAAACTTGACAAATCAAACTCTGCAACTCTCCCTATGGGGAGGGATGCCAGCCAATCCCAAATAGATAAAGCACTTTATTATTTGAACATAGCTTAGTAGATGCCTGGAGACACTACAACCCTAGAACGAAAGTACTTTCTAATCATCTCCTCATGATTGCTTCTCATGAATTTGTCATTTTTTCATTCATGCACAATTCCTTTCTTCCCTTTTATCCACAAAGACTATTTGCCTCTGTCCATACAAAGTAACTCTCTCATCCATAGTCCTTCGACTTTTACGTGCCATCTCAATTACCCTTTACACACTACCATAATGAATACTATACAGTGGGGATCGAAAGTTTGCAAAGGGATCGAAAATGTGCATAAAGAAGCCAAGGAAAGATGGAAAAATCTCCAAAAGGCATCAAATTACAGATTAGACATTCTTATAATATGTCAACAAAAGTAGATTTTATTTCCATCATTTACACTTTCAAAATAACAAAACAAAAAAAATGGGCGTCTGCAAAAGTTTGGGCACCCTGCAGAGTTAATATCTTGTACTGCCCCCTTTGGCAAGTATCACAGCTTGTAAACGCTTTTTTGTAGCCAGCCAAGAGTCTTTCAATTCTTGTTTGAGGTATCTTTGCCCATTCTTCCTTACAAAAGTCTTCCAGTTCTTTGAGATTTCTGGGCTGTCTGTCACGCACTGCTCTTTTAAGGTCTATCCATAGATTTTCAATTATGTTGAGGTCAGGAGATTGTGAAGGCCATGGCAAAACCTTCAGTTTACGCCTCTTGATGTAATCCCCGTGGATTTCGAGGTGTATTTAGGATCATTATCCATTTGTAGAAGCCATCCTCTCTTTAACTTCAGCTTTTTCACAGATGGCATCAAGTTACCATCCAAAATTTGCTAAAATTTTATTGAATCCATTTTTCCTTCTACTCATGAGATGTTCCCTGTGCCACTGGCTGCAACACAACCCCAAAGCATGATTGATCCAACCCCCATGCTTAACAGTTGGACAGAGGTTCTTTTCATTAAATTCTGTGCCCCTTCTTCTCCAAACGTACCTTTGCTCATTCTGGCCAAAACGTTCAATTTTAACCTCATCGGTCCACAGAACTTGTTTCCAAAATGCATCAGGCTTGTCTATATGTTCATTTACAAAGTTCAAACGATGATTTTTGTGGTGAGGACGTAGAAGAGAGGTTTTCTTCTGATGACTCTTCCATGAAGACCATATTTGTACAAGTATCTCTTTATAGTGGAATAGTGTACCACAACTCCAGTGTCTGCCAGATCTTTCTGGAGGGATCGTGCAGTCAAACGTGGGTTTTGAATTGTTTTTCTCACAATCCTGCGAGCTGTTCTGTCTGATATTTTTCTTGGTCTTCCAGATCTTGCTTTAACTTCCACTGTTCCTGATGACTGCCATTTCTTAATTACATTCCGAACAGAGGATATTGACATCTGAAAACGCTTTGCTATCTTCTTATAGCCTTCTCCAGCTTTGTGAGCGTCAACTTTTTTCAGTTTCAGTTTTCTAGACAACTGCTTAGAAGAACCCATGGTGCTGATTGTTGGGGCAAGGTCAGATGAGTCTGGGCATTTAAAACCTTTGAGATTGACATCACCTGGTCTTCCCAGACGATGATTGAGAACAATCCATGACACTGGCAGGTCTCAGCTTTGCAAAGGGGGCAGTGCATGGTATAAATTCTGCAGGGTGCCCAAACTTTTGCAGACGCCATTTTTTTGTTTTCTGTTATTTTGAAAGTGTAAATGATGGAAATAAAATCTAACTTTTGTTGACATATTATAAGAATGTCTAATCTGTAATTTGATGCCTTTTGGAGATTTTTCCACCTTTCCTTGGCTTCTTGATGCACATTAATACAAATTTTTAGCTGGGGTGCCCAAACTTTCGATCCCCACTGTAGCTAATGAGATAAGAAGCTATTTTGCCTTTAATGAATGCTCAGTATCATCTCTTGTTTTATTATGGGAAGCCAATAGGGTGACCATAAGAGGAACCATCATTCAATTAGCCTCTTTCTACAAAAAAGAATGGGATCGCAACGTTGTTCTCCTTAGCCTAGAATATGATTAGAAAAAATGCCCATTCCTCTTCTCTCTGTAAACATGTAACAACCACTAAAGTGGAATTCAACTTGCTCCTTAATGACAAGGCAGAAATGCACATAAGGTGCGCTATATTACATTTCTATGCTAGAGCAAATAAAACTGGGTTCTGTGCTTGCTAACCTGCTGAATGCTTGTTCAAAAGGATCTGCTATTAGACTTCAGCTCCCGGATGGCACTGCTACTGCAAATCTTGTGGCTATCGTAGATCGATTTAGCTCAGTCTTAGAAGACTTATACAAAAACCCCTGCAATTTTGTTCCTCTTTGGCAGACCAACGTTTATTGGATGTGCCCCTCCCAACTCTCACGCAGCAGCATGAGAGATAAAACGGAGGCTGATGTTACCATTCCAGAAAAACTCCTAGTCATTAAAAGTCTCAAACCAAATAAGGCTCCAGGACCTGATGGCTTTTCCGCACTCTATTTTAAGACTTTGACATTTTAGCTGCACATCTCACGAACTCATGTAACCATTTAAGGTCTTACTCAGATCCTCATCCCTCTTCACTCACATCCCATATAATGATGGTTACAGGTTACATTCTCTTCACACCTCACTGATCCATAAAGACCAGGTGGGTTTTGAATAAACAAGCCCCTGATAACACATGCAAGGTAATCCATTCAATACACCATCATTAACAAACTGCAAGGTATGGTATTTTCACTCAATACACATAACACTTTTGATACCATCTCTTGGGATTATCTATATTATATACTGCATAAATATGGATTTGGTAGTTGTTATAAATCATGGATTAAATGACTTTACTGTGGTCCAATAGCCAGCGTTAAATATCTGAACTTTTTCTCGACTCCTTTTCCCACTGAGAGAGAACATCATCAGGGTTGCTCCCTCTCCTACATATTGTTTGCCCTGGAGCCATTAGCAGACCTTATTAAAATACACATGGCATACATTCTGGCTGCTATGTTTAAGTTAATCATTTTGCCAATGATTTATTATTAACTTTTATCCAAGCTTTCATTTCCCTTCCCAGCTTATTGTCCACTCTGCATTTCTTCACTCAAATTTCTAACTTAGTGTACATGCTAACAAAAAAAAAATAAATGGCTCTTAATATTTTTCATCTAACTCTGCTTGACACACTAAAATCGTCCTTCAAATTCACTTGTGCCACTAAACAGTTAGAATATCTTGTTATCCTATTGACACCCCCCTCCCATCACTCTGAACTATATTCAGTTAATTTTATCCCAATGTTATCTAAAAAAATCTCAAATAGTGCCCTGGATTCCACATTTTATCTCTGGGCTAAGGAGAGTTACGCAATTAAAATTAACATCCTGCCTGAGCTTTTACACCTCTTCTGTATCTTCCCATCCCAGTTCCTTCTTTTGCTACTGTATCCTTTCAAAACCATGTCTTATTTGGCACAAGCGTAAACCACGGTGGAATTGGAAGCTACCTTTTGCGCCCCTATGAACATGACCTCTTCTAATTTACAGCTGCTGGCAATCAACTCCTTGTTGAAACACACCAGCAACTCAGCTGTTTGTGGATTAAAGGGTTTGCACTTTTGCATGTTATTTGGGAACCACCTTCCTAGAAACCACTGATTAGCTCTTTTACATTTTAAACTCCCAGGTATTACCAAGAGACAATTTAGATTGGCACATTTTGTCCTCTTAGTTACCAAATTGACAAATGCCAGAGCTTGCAAGAAGCAATTCATCTGTTTTTCTGAGGTTGAGACCGCACTAGACATTTTTTACACAACTGACCAGATTCCCCACTAATAGCAAAGTTAAATTACTCAAGATCTGGGACCTGTGGATCATATACTGTCAAACCTGCTCTTTCGGTATAGTACCTATTCATTCCATCAAGAGCTCATGTGGTAAGAGGGATTCCTGTGTCATGCTTTTCTCCCTATTCTCCCAATCCTTCCTCCCTTCTTCTCCATCAATCTTAAAATTGCTGTTTTTCTTTCTTTTTGTTCTTTTCTTGTTTCTCCCACTTTCCTCCTCTTTGATACTGACCATCACTTAGATCCAGGCCATCTCCCATACCTTCCTGGGTTTTGTTACAATTACTGACTTTTGCATCCATCATACTTACCTATATACAAAGGCATAACAATGTCTATACTGTACCTTTTTCATTACTGTAACCTTGGACTATAGAATTTTTTTTATGTACCATCTGCTATTTCGCAATGTTACAACCAATAAACAAACTGAAATAAAAATTCAAAGACAAATCTAGAGTCCGAAAACAATCTTTCACAATACTTTGGTAAAAGATAAGTGATATGGGACATCCAAAGAGCCCCAGAATAATGCTGGGTTTGTTTGGATGTCCCAGATCACTTATCTTTTACCAAATACATTATTGAGAAGGATTG